TAAGCTCGGGGGAAGTGCGATACTTTTCGATAAATCTATGATTTCTTCGCTAAATTCAAAATGTTGTATTATTTCGACAATTTTAAGGAAACTCAGTTGTAATTCCTTTGCGGTAGGTACCACTTCAAATTCTAGCTTTCGATCTCGTGTTTTTCGAGGCCATCTTAGTATATAAGCGAAAATCCGAAGCACCTTTGTATGAGATGAAAACTTTTCAATTATTTCTATCAGTGGATTTATTGTGTTGATTGCTGTTAACGTAACTGCGTTCCTTTTCTTTTCAAGTGATTGCTGCTCTGGAGAGAGGTTAAAATTGGCATTTTGTGGCCATAAAGCAGGGTCTTCTAGGAGGAACTGCGGGCCAGAAAACCATATTGATGCATTTACTTCGTCCACGTTACAACCCCGAGACACTTGATCCGCTGGATTTTGTTTTTTTGGGACATGTCGCCATTATGCATTCTGGGTCCACTCTTGGATTTCGGACACTCTATTTGCGACGAAAGTTTGCAGCGAAGATGGATGCGTTTTGATCCAGTGCAAAACTATTTCGGAATCTGTCCAGAAATTAACTTTTTCTATCGGTCGACTCAACATTGGCGAAGTTCTTGACCATAATTTGGCCAGAAGATGTGCTGCCGAGAGCTCTAAACACGGAAGGGATTTATTCTTCAGCGGAGCTGCTCTAGATATTGCAGTAAGCAGCGTACATCTCGTACCACTAGCGGTTGGGCTACGTATATAGACGCAGCAGCCGTACGCTCTTATTGAGGCGTCGGAAAAGCCATTTGACAGCTGGCACTCGACTCCGTATTTACATACCGAGGAATGCTGACTGATGAAAGCTGCAGTAAATTTACATTAAGGTTTTGCCAGCTAGTGTCGAGGTGCTATGGAATCGACTCATCCCAGTCTAGCTTTTGAATCCAAAGCTCTTGCATTAAGATTTTTGCTTGGGTAACTAGCGGGGCTAATAAACCAAGAGGGTCAAAGAGGCGAGCAGAACCGATAGAATTTTTCGTTTGGTTGATCGCAGCTCACTAAAGTTGTCTTCCAGAATGAAGCGAAAAATGTCATCTTTCGGCTGCCAGTGAATTCCCAGCGTTTTCGTAGAGTCTGTGTCGCTGAGCTGCAATAACTTCTCATGACTCTCGCTGTTCGACCGGTTAGGGTGATTGGAAAACCACTTTGCTAGTTCGAGGCCTGCCGATTCAAGAACTTTATTCACCTTAGTTTGAAGTTGGATGAGGGATTTAAAATCGTCGGATCCTGTTAGCAGGTTGTCGACATAAAAAGCATTTCGAATGACTTTGGCGCCGAGTGGATATTTCGATAAATTCATGTCGCTTAGCATTTGAAGACACCGTGTAGCGAGAAATGGGGCAGGCGCAGTGCCGTAAGTCACGGTATTTAAACTAAAAACTTGCAAATGCTCTGGTTGATCTGGTCTCCACATTATGAGTTGGAAGTTTCTATCATCTTCGTGCACTGAAATCTGTCGATACATCTTTGTGACGTCGGAAGTAATGGAATATTTGTGGAATCGGAAGCGATGGAGTGTCGAAAAAAGCTCTTCTTGAACTGTCGGTCCGACTATCAAGATATCGTTTAACGCACATGTGTGGATGTACGGCTTGAAGCGTCAAAAACTATGCGCAACTTGGTAGTCTTAACACACACTAATAATGTGGCTCACTCGGGATTTTGTTGTTTGTGGGGCTCATGTGGTCCAATTCTAGGTACTCTTTCATTAAGTCCAGATACATTTTGTGAATTTCTGGATCTTTCAGAGTCCTTCTCTCCAGCGCCTGAAACCGCCGAGCTGCCTTTTCATGCGAATGACTGAGTAACTTACGATCATTTTTAAAAGGCAGTCTGACTTGAAGCCTTCCCTCCGGTAAAACAACCGTGGTTTTTAAAATACCTGCTCGCATTCAGCTTGTTCAGGAGTTAGTCTTTTGAGGTTGCCTTCGAGGGTCGTTCTTCCAGCGCCCAAAATTTCTGGACGGTGGCATCGATATTTTCTATATTTTCCTCGGCTTGGTATAATGTGCTATTTACTTGTGCACTGGAGCTTTGACTTGAGGCATATTTGCCCGAAATTATCCAGCCTAACAATATTTTTGCAGCGTTGGCTGCCTTGGGCTGGTTTTAATGTGACCCACCGATAACAGATCAAAGAACATTTTAGCTCCCAATAATATATCGATCTTTTGACACTTGAAAAAGTTCGATATTTTGTGGGATTTTCCAGCCATTTGTGTTCACTGTGTGATCTGGGTTGGGTTGGCTGATATCGACGCATTACCCAGAAATCTGTTGAAAATTCAAAATCATTGACCCTCAATTTTACGAAGGCATTTAATTTGCCTTGGACCCTTTTTATTCGAATTGCCAATTCCAATTACATTCAGAGTCGACTTCTGTCTTGGAATTCGCAATTTTTTGCCAGCTCCTCGATCATAAAGTTGACTTGGGACGCAGAGTCAAGCCGAGCACGAGCTGGCACATAACTACCGGAGCAGCACTTTATGTACACTACGGCTGTGGCTAGCATGACGCGATCTGGCGCACTGCTGGTATGTATCGCCTGTGTCGTCGGAGGTTGACGCTCAGTTTCAAAAGAGATCGGGTATTGGTGCGGCATTGTATGGTGTGACCGATTGCACACGCGGCAACGATCTGATTTGCACCTTGAGACGGTATGTCCCTTTCGCCAGCAATTTATGCACAAGGAAACCGATTTCGCGTATTCGTATCTCTGAAGAGCAGTCAATGCTTGGAATTTTGGGCAAGATGTAATGAAATGGTCCTTTGAACCACAGTGCAGGCAAGTTGGCTCTTTAGAGTTTGTTGCGATCAATGCTGCTTTCGATCTTTCGAATTGTTGATTCCTTGTCTTCTGTCGAGTGTCTGAATTATTAATTTTTGTCTGGAATGAGGAAGCTTCTTCAACAGAAAGATGCTGCTACCTCTTATTGAGCATAGCTTCACACTCAGCCCAAAGCGGCAATTTATCAAAGTCCAGCTGCTCCTCCCACTTTGACTGAGTAGTGGGATCAGCCTTGGACATGACTATGTGAATTAACATCGAATTTGAAATATGTTTGTCATCACCCAGAGACAAAAGCGAGTCATACACCGCGGACCATGAACGAACGAATAAAGAGCACCCAGCACGGCGTGCGAGAAAAGTTATTTTTTTGCAGTGACGTCATTTTTTCGCCGCCATGTGAATGAAACGGAATGAAACCTGTGTGTGAATGAAAGAACCGATTAAAAAATGACGTCATCAACTATTTTTTTTTTTTCTCAAATGCAATTACAAATACACGGTTGCCGTGCTGGGTGATCTTGTTAGTTGGTTCATGCCGCGGACACTGTGTCGATTATCGATCGCAAAGACGAAGCAGAAGGTTTTTGAATTTTAGTAAGATCAAAGAGTCCAGAAACTGTATTGAAAAGTATAAGACATTTATTGTCATATACTCTCCTCAAACTGGCCAATGCCTTTGCCACATTTGGAAGGTCTTCACTGTGCCCAATGCTTCACCGGATCAGCGTTGCCACAAATCCGACCAAAATCGTTTACAACCTACCAAATAAAGAATTCTGAAAGCATACAGTTCATTTATTTAAGATTTAATATTTCGAATGAAACTTTAACAAAAGAGGTTAAATTGGTTAATCTTCTTTAGAAACTACCTTAGCTGGTGTTATTATTTGTAAAAGTTTTATATCTTCACGCTTGAAATCAAATCTTAAATTTATTTGGTCCAAAAACTCTATGTAAAACTTTAATATATTGGTTATGATTATTTTAATTTTTAAAATAAATATTAATATTGTTACTGATCGCATCTTTTTTAATAAAGTTACTCAAAATTAAGAGATAATGTGCTTTGATAGTTGCATATAAGTATTGCAAACGAGAGCTTTCAGCTAGGAACTCTTTGTTTAGATAGTTAGCTATGGGCAAAATATACGATAGGAATAAAACATAGCATTTGGTTTTGCACACATTCCTTTGGCCAGGTCTGCCGATCGCATACCGTTTACTTCGGAGGAGCAGGAAATAAAACAAGGTTTCAAACTATCCCATTGCTCAACTATTCTTAGACATCGTGTTTGAGATATGCCTAAGATTTTGTGGGGTTTTACCGAACAGTAATCCTGAAATTCCTTCAGTTCATGTATCCTCTTTGGACTGTGGGAAAAGAAACTATGTATGTTGCGGCACAGTGTCTCAATGCTTTTCGGCAATTTTTTTACAAGCTTGAGCAAAGGTGAAGTGAGTGGCATGTGCACTCTATATAAAATAAATCGGTTTCTGCACTCAATAATGTTTTCAGCCCGCCCAAATCTCCAGCCATACATTGGCTCCATCAGTGGCCATACCAATTAGGTTTCTTATTTTTAAAGGCAGGATTGGAAAATGTTTAAAATGTACAATTGGCAAATATTTATATGCGAAATGATGTTTGATTTTTTTTTTTTATAATTAAGAATTTCAAAACTTAATTTAACTATCCGACCAAAGTCTTACTTTGCCTACCAACCTACCAAATGGAAAGAAGCGACCAAATTTGGTCGGAAAAGACCAATAGTGGCAACACTGCACCGGATAAACACGACACTACATAAATGATTAAGTTTTTCGATATCCGGGATCGTACGGTCGTTGTGCACTAAACTCTCAAACAAGCTCATGGAATTCTTAAATTCAGAATATTCCCCTTTGAATTTGGGTAGCGACATCTTAGGGAGTCGCGAGCTGTAAGGTGCAATAAATGAAGATTCGGCAACACAAGATTTATTTTTTGCGAGAATGGACCTAATCATGGACTTCGTTTCTACAACTATGTCCTCCAATTCTCCACGGGCCAAATCTTCCTCATCAATTTCTTCTATTCTTGAAGGTTAAGCGAACGTCGAAGTGAGCGGACGTGTTTTTTCTCTGCTCCGTTTAAATTGCATTTTTACTGCTTTTTATTGCTTTTTTTGTGTGCAAAATGTCTCTTTGTGCTAATTGTAGTGTCACCCGTGCACTTAAAGATAAAGTCTTGATCGCGATTGCTGATTTAGAAAAAATAAAAAGTGTTTTATCAGAGTTCGTTGACTCTGTGGGTGATGGAGCTATTCCCCTGGCTCCCAGTGCAAGTGAAAATAAGCGGGTTACACGACTAACAACAAAAGCCAAAGCCGGTGACAATGTTGTTGCTTGGCAAAACAGTGTACAAAGGCGGCCCACCCGCGCTAGTGCTAACAAGTTAAATAATGAGCAATCAAGCTCTAATGTGCATAAAAACAACAATAATAACAATGCTAACACTGATACTGCTACTGCTGATGCTAATTTGCCTGTACTCAAAATTTCCAATGAGAGCGAAAGCAATACTGGTTTGACTACTTTTGATGACAACACGATTGTTGTTGCTAACGCTGCTACCACCGACTCATCTGGAAGTACAGCTGATAACATTCCTGGCTCTGCTACTGCTGATACTAACACTGCTGAAACTGATGGTGATTCTATGCATGCTGCTTCTAGTTCTGCTTCTGCTAATGATAGTGTTGAGAATGCTGCTTCTGGTTCTGCCGTGGGCAATTCGTCAGGTGCTAATGGTGCTAATGATGACAATATACAAGCTGAAAGTGCGACTGATAAAGGGCAAACAGATAATGCACAGTGGTCTATTGTTGCTAATAGGCGACATAAAAAACAAAATCAGCGTAATCATCGTATTATCGGCTCTAATGTTGAAACCCAGCTGGGTGTAATAGTTCGTCGCAAATGGCTGCACTTATCATCGTTTGTAGCCACTGTAACGTCGGATGACATAATTGCGTATGTGGCTAATCGTGCGGATATTAACCCTAGTTTGTTATTGTGCTATAAGCTTGGTCGAAGTGGTGCTGATCCAAGCGCCATGAGATACGCCAATTTTAAGCTTGGTGTGCCGCAAGCACACTATAATAAAGTTTTCAAGTCGAATATGTGGCCCGCCAATGTTGCAGTTCGGCCTTTTGATTTTTTTCAAGAGGGTCTCCAGCCTCAGCCAACGAAGTAAAGGACGCCTATACTACTGGTGGCGGTAAAATTAGAATATACTACCACAATACTTCTGGAATTAGAACAAAAAATGAGTCCATCTACACTTTGAGCTCAGAACTAGATTATGATTGCTTCGTTATAACTGAGACTTGGCTTAATGAAAATTTTTTCGATGCTGAGTTTTTCAACCCTGAACTTTTTGATGTCTTTCGTAAAGATAGAGATTATGCTAAAACTGGTCTTAGCAGGGGTGGCGGTGTTCTTATAGCTGTACGCAAGTACCTTCGTGCTTCGTTTCTTCAGCTGAACAATCCCGATTCCTTGCTCGATCAACTGTGTATTAAGTTGAATGGCGCCTGTGGATTGCTGTTCATTTGCTTGTCTTATGTTCCACCTGGTAGCTCTGATGATATTTACAAGGCGCATGTCGACAACATTTTGTCTGTTCAAGATATTATTGGCGACAATCAACTTTGTATTTTTGGCGATTTTAATTTGGGTAATGTTTCCTGGAGATGTTTGGATGGTAATACCTTTCTTACGCCGGCCAATGTTACTACTTTTTCTGAATGCTATTTAGTTGATAGTTTGCAATGTATTGAATTACTACAAGTGAATAATGTTTTTAATGTATTAAATAGATTATTAGATCTAATTTTTGTAAGCTATAATACAAACTATAAGCTCTCGCAGGCAGCTAGTTTCATTTCACCCCCAAATCAACATCATAATCCGTTGGTCTTGGAAGTAGAATTTTATCAATATTTTGAATTACCATCTGGCTTGCAGCCAGTTGCGTTTAACTATTCTCGCTGTAACTTTTTTGATTTGAATACCTTGTTTGATTTGGACTGGCCTGGGCTTTTGGGAAACTTGAATGTTACTGGCTGCTACGATATTTTTAAGACAACAATACTTGATATTTGCATAAGTCACATCCCAAGGCTTAGTACAAAAACCAATAAAAGACCGTGGTTTTCAAAAGAGCTTAAACGAGTGAAGAATTTAAAGAATAAGTTTTTTAAAAAGCATAAATTGTCTAACAATGAGCATTTTCGCAGGCGTTTTATATATTATCGAGCTAAGTTCAATAAGCTCAATAGGTTGCTATATCGCCGTTATACTCGAAGCGTTGAAGGTAACATTAAATGTAACCCTAAATCTTTTTGGAATTACATTAAATCAAAGAAAAAATGTTCTGATATACCTACATCTGTGCATCTTAGGGGGGTTTCAGCTAACTCCTTATCTGATGCATCTAATCTGTTTGCAAATTATTTTTCCGCTAATTATATCTCAGACAACGCTAGTGATGTCATTCCCGATGAGATTCTGTCAAGTTTCGCTACTTCCATCAACTTTGGAAAGTTAAGCTTGACAGAACTAGATATTGCTAATGGCATTAAGCAGCTTAAGATGTCAACTACAACTGACGCTGATGGTGTTTCTGCTGTGTTATTGAAAAATTGCTCTTCTCTGATTGCTCCGTTACTGCATATTTTTAATAAGTCTCTGTCTTCTGGCATTTTTATAGATGCTTGGAAATTAACTTTTATCACGCCTATCTTCAAGAGCGGCAATAAAAGCAACATTGAAAATTATAGGCCGATTTCCAAACTAACCACCGTGTCGAAATTGTTTGAGTGTATAATTAAGGATAAAATATATTTTGAGGTAAAACACTTGCTTTGTCCTCAACAGCATGGATTTGTTCCGGGTAGATCTACCCTAACTAATTTAGCAGTGTTCACCGAAGATTGCCTGGATTCTTTTCAAAAAGGATTTCAGATTGATGCGGTTTACACGGACTTTTCAAAGGCCTTTGACAGAGTATCCCATAGAGTTCTTTTAGCTAAACTGGAAATACTAGGATTCCACTCTCTATTATTGAGGGGGATCTCATCCTATTTAAACAACAGACGTTGTGTCGTTCGCCTCGACGGTGCGTCTTCTTATTCTTTCGTAGCTTCCTCTGGGGTTCCCCAGGGAAGCGTCCTCGGTCCCTTGCTGTTTATTCTGTTTATTAATGATATTTCCTCTTGCTTCTCAAAATGTAAGTTTCTTCTCTACGCGGATGACTTAAAAATTTATTCTGAAATTAAGTCCTTAGAAGATTCTTTCGTCCTACAGGGCGAGCTTGACAACTTGTTCCAGTGGTGCGAACGTAATCGCCTATTTCTTAACATTGCTAAGTGTCACTATACCTCTTATGGTAGACTCGTTTACAATCTCCCAACATCGTATCGTCTTTCGAATGTTGCGCTAAAAAAGGTTGATGAATTTAAAGACCTTGGTGTTTACTTTGACCCCAAACTCAGCTTTACCACTCACATAAATTTTGTTGTTTCTAAGGCGTATGCTATGTTGGCTTTTATTCGGCGTAACTGTTCGTCGTTTTCTGACCCATACACTTTAAAAGTATTGTACACGTCTCTAGTTCGGTCGAAGTTAGAATATGCAGTATTTATCTGGAGGCCTTTTCATGCCGTTCATATTAGGAGATTGGAGTCGGTCCAGAGGGCTTTCGTACGTTTCGCCCTGCGGCGGGTGAACTTTCTGGAACCGATCCCACCCTATAGTTCTCGTTGTTTGCTCATAAGTCTCATGTCACTAGAGTCGAGACGTTCACTGCTGTCGATGTGCGTTGTTTATGATATTATTAATGGCTTAATCGATTGCTCATACCTACTCATGAAAATTAGTTTTAATGTACCTTCACGGATCCTTCGTTGTAACGAGATGTTTTATGTGGGTTTTGCTAGAACAGTTTATGCGATGAATGCTCCTATAAGACGGACACTTTCGGAATTAAATGATTTTTCTTTTTCTTTGGGATTTGACTTTTGCTATACCAAGTTTACTTTTAAGAGCCTGCTCATAAGACACTTAACATAGCTTTACTTTACTAATTATTGTTTATTGATTATGTTAAGCCTAATATAATTTTGCTACACAGTCTGTGAACTTACTGTTTGTTGATTAATGAATAAATATGAAATATGAAATATGATTGACACGTCATTAGGTTTTCGCTGTGTGAATTTAAAATTTCAAGTCTACATTCAAGTTCGATGGGATCTAACGACATGGTTTTTTCGATAAGGCCTGTTCTTATAGGTACTATGTTTCTTTTTAGAACTGCCCTTCGCTTTACCTTCAATTCTTCTACTTGGCTCATTTTTAAATCGAGTTCCGATGTCTTGGTTGCGAACAGAAGTATAACTTTTTGCTTTTATGCACAGTAATTTTGTGCTCGAAAAATAGTTCTGGAAGTTTTTTAGGAAACGAAAACGAAAAAAAGTTTGATGAAACTTGACCAGAACCAACGAAAAACGAGATCGTAAACCAATTGCCGAACACCACGAAATTGCAACGGTTGTATAACTTTTCAATTTGCAGTGGCAAATTGGCGAAAATTAAATTTGCGAAAAAAATGGTATGTATTACTCTTAAGCCCGTAAATCACGCCTGGATTTTTGTAAATTTACGAAAAAATATAAATCGAAATTAGAACCCGTAAAATTATCCACACAAAAAACGCATACTTCTACCTCTTGTCCCACTGTGTCCTTCACTTCAAAGGCAGTATATAAATATGTATGTATGTATATACGACGTACATATTTTCATGCACTATGTATACATATATGTAATTGGCGCAATTGAAATGGATACAAGAAATGCCAAAAATTCAAGCTTTTATTCTTTATAAGACGATTATCAGTAACTTTAATAATCAAATCAATTACAAAGCCAAATATTTCGTATGCTTCAATTGTTCGCGCTCAATACCTGTTTATCATGGACCGGTTTGTTTCAAAGCCTTCACTTCCCTCTTGCAGACAATACAGGTGCAGTTCATTCCCGCGATGTCCAACGAAGCAGCGATATTTTTATACGCTTCCAACAGCAAAACAGCAACTCTTAGGCAAGTAACCAAGGTAGGTAGCAGTTCCCACACAGAAATTAAGCAGCAGCACCAACGGTAGGTAAGTATAACAAGAAATAAGCAGCAGTTCGTGGTAAGGTGTTTGTTCAGTTTCGGAAAAATGTCTTTTATTCATGCGTGTATATATGTCTATATATATTTTTAGAACTTATTCTTAATTTTGCTTTTTTGTGTTTTTTACGCACTACGGCCCACTGTCACTGCAATTTATTTTCACTTCCCAGTTTGTTCTTGGCTTGCTTTTATGGTTATTGTTTGTGTGTTTGTATACTAGTTACGTGGTTATTTAAATGTTTGTTTGTAGATAGTTTAGCTAAAATCTATTTAAATATGTGTACTTCGCACTAAGTCCCTTCTCGGGCGCCATGAAAATTTAACACTATATTGTGCTAAAGCTTGTCTATTTATTTAGACTAACGAAGTTTTAGTATTTTTTAGGGAGCACGAAACACTACTAACTCAGTCGATATTTAATTGCCTGACATAAATAATAACCGCACGGTTTCGATATTACAATTCAAGTCCTTGTTACAATTCTTCATTTCATATTCTTAACCTACTGCCTCACCTAACGGCTTAATTTAGAGGTATTAAGTAGGAGAGGAATAGGGGAAACGATAGATAGTAAGAAGGGGTAAGTATACATAGGCAAGTACATACGATGGTAAGTATAGGTGCGTTCGACAAGTCAAAAATTTGTAATAGTTTTTCCAAATTTTTACTGGATGGCGTTCGATCACGATTGAGAGAATACAAAGGTTGCGCCGATCTCGGACCTCTATTCCTCTCTTAACGAATTTGACAGAATCGTTGTTTGCATGACGTCACACTGGTGCAACTTGTTTACGTTTTCCTTGCAACATTTTTTCTTCTTCTTCCATTCTTGCTCACGTTTTGGCATTTCTCTCTCGCAATTGCACCAGTGTGACGTCACACAAAAGTTATTCTCAAAAATCCTCTCTGATCGGCGCAATCTTGTATTCTATCATTCTTGGCGTTCGATAACGACAAAAAATTATCCAACACACATAAATTGAGAGAGCAAGCGTTCATTTTGATGCAAGAGAAGCGTTCATTTTGT